AGCAACATTCTAGCGAAGACTCCTTATTTATTCTGGCATAATTTTAGATTTATAGAGCAGTTGCAAAGATAGTAGGGAAAGTTTCCATAAACTCCTCACTTGACTTCCACAGAGTTTGCATCTTGTGCAACGGTAATATGCAGTTGCCCTTGGGTATTGGCAGGGCATCGGTTCCAGGACCCCCCTGGAAATCAAAATCCAAGAATGCTCAAGTTGCTTATAGAAAATGATGCAGTATTTGCATATAACCCATGCACAGCCTCTTGTACACTTTCAGCCATCTCTACATAATGTATAATACCAAAAACCATGGAAAAGCCATGTACTTGTTATACTGTATTGTTTAGAGAATAATGACAAGAAGAAAAAATCTGTATGTCTTCAGTACAGATGGTTATTTTTCTGAATATTTTCTGAGGTTGGTTGAATCCTTAGATACAGACCCGGTAGATACAGAGGGCCATGGTACTCATCAAAACTAAGAAATTAACATGACCCCTGCCTAAACTATGCACTGTACTTAGTGGTCAACAGCGTTTCCCTTCTGATTTTCTGTCCCCAGATCCGATCCCAGCTACCACATTGCATTACTTATTTTGTCTTCTCCTTCTCCGCTCTCCTTCCCTCCCCTCCTCCTTGCTCTCTTCCACTCCTCTTTCTTTTCCTCCTCCTCTTCTCTTCCTTCTCCTCCTACTCCTTCTTTTCCTCCTTTTTTTGTTTTGTTTTGTTTTGTTAGACAAGGTCTGGCTATGTAGTTCAGGTTGGCCTTGAACTCACGCTGTAGACTAGGCTGGCCTCAAACTCAGAATGATCCTCCTGCCTCAGCCTCCTAAGTGCTGAGATTTCAGGAGTGTGCCACTACATCCAGTAATTGTCATTGTGGCCTTCGTCCCATCTGGCCTGTGAGAATTCCTCATCTTCCTTTGAATTTCTTGACCTTGAGAACTTTGAAGAGTTCTGGTCCATATTTGTAGATGCACTTCAGTCTGGGTTTGCCTGATGTCTTCTCGTAATTAGACAGGGCCCACAGGCTGGGGAAGAATGGTACAGAGGAGAGGAGACCTTCGCATGCCATCCAGCCAGGACTGACATAAAATCAACAGGACTTGTTATTGGGGGTGCTGGCCCAGACCACTTGGCGGAGGTGGTATCAAGTTTCCCCACTGGAAAGTGAGGACAGCTCCTCTTTGGGGGTGCTTTTTAAAAGCATGATGCTAAAAGATAAAATTATAAAGAAAATTGTGGAAAATGATTGCTGGATTATTAGGCTCCTAAAATTAAAAGACTTTGGGCCGGGGATTTAGCTCAGTGATTCCGCCACCTGCCTCGCAAGTACAAGGCCCCAAGTTCAATCTCCAGTACCAAAAAAAATAAAAAATTTAAAAAAAAAAAGACTTTGCTACATCCAGTGATAAACTGGACCAATACAACAGACAAGAAACACAGGAGCTTTGCAGGTCAGTCAGGAAAACTTGGATGGCTTAGTCCAGAAATGGGAAAAAGAAGACATGCTATTGTCCAGTAGGGCCAGGAAGAAAAGAAAGGAACATTTGACCTCATTGTCCTTCAGGAAATGTGAAGTAAAACCTTGTGGTCCTTCACACATGCAAGGAAAAATGCTTTAAATTTTTTTTTTTTTTGTACCAGGGATCAGACTCGGGGCCTTGCGCTGACAAGGCAGACACTAGAACCACTGAGCTAAATCCCTGGCCCCTTTAAATTTTTAAGTTAAAAAGAAAGAATGCTAATATTGGGAAGTATTAAATGTATATTTGTGTATGTAATACATGAGAAAGTCTGGAGACTGTCGTAGACACAGCATCACACACACACACACACACACATTTTAATTTACAAGCAGGAGATTCACCCATTTGCATGAACTGTTCTGTGAGTTTTGACAAACATGGTCGTGTACTACCTCATGGTCAGGATAGAGAAAAGCCCCACACCCTCCCAGATCCTCTCCTGCTGGCCCTGTGCAGCCAGCTCCTTCCCTGGCCAGCCTCATCTGTCTTCTAGTCCCATAATTTTGACTTTTGCAAGTTGTCATATGAACGAATCACATGCCTGAACCCCTTGGAGGCTGGCTTCTTTTGCTCACCCTAATGCATCTGGGATTCTCCGCCTCTTGTATTTATTCTCTTGTATGCATGGACCACAGTCTGTTTATCCCTCCATCTGCTTAAAGGGCATTTTGGTTGTCTCTAGATTTTGTTGATTGTGACTAAACCACTATAATCATTTATGTGCAGGTTTGTTTGCCCCACACACACACACCGGGGATTGAGTTTAGGACCTTGCGCTTGCCAGGCAAACGCGGCACCACTGAGCCACATCCCTAGCCTGTGTGTAGGTTTTAATATCAATGTATGTTTTAATTTCTCTTGGACAAATACCTAGGAGTGAAATTACTGGATTTGTAGGTGTGTGTTTATCTTTCTATAAAATGGCCAAATGTTGAAGGTTTTGGCCAGTTTCTCCCATAGCACCATAGCTGTGTAGGGCCCTAATGAAATACTGCTACCACCTTCCTCTCCCATTTGGAGCTTTACTGACAGATGCTGAAGGCCCAGCAGGCCAATTTGCAATCTCTCTGGACTTGTTTCTACCTTTTCCCAGCTGCTGTGGGTTCAGTCCTGCTGGGTGGGAAGCTAACAGCCTCCTTTTGGTGACCTCTCCCTCCTCCATTGAAGGCAGGCAAATAACAATGGGGCGTGCATAGTTCTCAACTTAAATAGTGCTTTATGAGTTCTTTTTGTTTAATTACAAAAGTGATGTATGTACATATCAAACAAGAAAAAACAATCAAGCAGGGCCCTGAGGTGTATCCCCAGCACTATAGTAAAAAAAAAAAGGAACAGTATAAAAGGACAGCCAATGTAAAGATAAAAACACTCTCTCACTCCAAGGGCCCCGTTCCTCATTCCAGAGGTAGCCAGGGTTCATTTCTCATAATACTTCTAGAAATTGTCTCTTCATATAACAATGCTTTTAAACACTGCATTTAGTTCTGGTAAAACCATCACAGCGCTCCGGGTCATTATGAAATTGTTGGGTAATTTTCAACTTGTAATAACTCATATCAGGGTCAATAGTCACCTTTAAGGATCCACTAAGAACCTGATATTTTGTGCCAAACATTCCATCTCTGCATTTTTTGGTGGCAGCTTAGTAGCTTTTATCAGATTCTCAGAACCCAGAAAGACGTGTCTTTTACAGATAAGGGGCAGATAAATGTGTAACTAGCTGGGGGAGGGGACCAATAGGTTCTGGACTCCTGGTTCTTTGTTGGTTGGAAGCTGGGGGAACCATTGCGCTAACAAGTTTGTCTTGGGCTAAAAGCCTGGCTGAGCTCACAGAGAAGTCTGTGGGATTCTTCGTCCTGAGTCCAGCTGACTCACAGCATGGGGGAAGAGTGCTGGTGGCCGACACACGTTTTCTCTTTCCCCAGGGTGAGCTGGTTACTGTGCACTTCTCACAGAGAGCAGCAGACAGCTTGCTTCCTGTAGACTGAACAATATTCTAGATGATTTAGGGAAATTCCTGGGAGGCAGCTTAATCCGGTTGATGATGAAAGTCACAGATGTTGGGGGGCAGTTGGGAGGGGAAATGACCCAGCTGTCTAACACCCTTGTGTATATTAAGGCATTTGTGGTTCAGAACAATTCTGACAGATGGGGAAACTGAGGCAGGAGTACACTAGCTACTGTGCAACCAGCCCCACCTCCCAGTGTGAGTTACTGGCCGCTTGGGTCCATACACTAGATCTCTTTGCTTGCCACTGACAAATGAGGCCATTTATGTTGGTGAAAAGGAAAATGGCTTTGTGCAAAGCTGGCTCCCAGGGGATGCAGGGGCACCATTCCCCTGTGTCCAGGGCTAGAAGGGTCTTTTACAGCAGGGAAGGAGAGGAGGGGTAGACAGCGAGGCGACAGAGCTCTCCAGGCTGCTTTATGGCTCCCAGCCATCCTGGAACTCCTCTTTCCCATGGATAGGACACTGGCACGAGGGGGTGGCACTCAAGTGGCAGATAGGCTGTAGGTCTCTCTAAAGGAAAAAAGTCTAACTTAGAGTTCCATTTGCTGGGTACACGCACAGTTGCATTTGTCGGTGGGGGAGGGAGGGCCCTGGCCCTGTGCCGTCGCTGCAGGACCCAGGCTGCATCCATCCACAGCACTTCCTCTCCCAGGGCCTGGCCAGAGAGCAAGGTTCACCATATACCAATTGCTAAACCAAGGGTTTTGAGGAAGAGAAAAGCAATTATTCATTATTCGCAAGGTGGACAAGCGACAAGGTGGGAGATCTAAGCTTCAAATCCACCTCCCCAAAGAGGTTGTTTATGGGATGAAGAAGCAGGTGGTCGCAGGTGTTTGCGAAGGTGAGGGAGCAGGACTCGTGGTGTGCGCATTCACAGTCTTCATGGCTCTTCTTGGGCCTGCATTGGTAAACAGCAGCCCTAGCTGGAGCTGAGGGTGGAGTTTTCAGCCTCCTTTCTTGCATCCCACACCTGCTGTGGCTGCCCAAGTAAGGAGTCCTTTGGTTCCAACAAAAGGAGCTTTCAGGTCCTTGGCAAGTAACCTAGGCAACCGTTATCATTCTGACCCACAGGTCAAAGATGTTATCTACAGCAAAGCCAGTGAGAGACTAACATGTCTGCGGCTCAGCTGTGTGTTCTCCAAAATGAGTGGTTTTTAAAATGAACTGAATGCAAGTAACCAGGAGCAAGTGAAGCCAGGGGATGTGTTCAGGCTTTCCTTTGCTCTCACTAAAGGGCCCACAGCTAGTAAGTGGTGGAGCTGGGATAATGAACCCAGTTAGCAGGTTCAGGGTCCACCACCTGCCTTCCCACTAGATGTCCCTGGTGTGTGACCTCAGAAGCAGGCAGCAGGAGATCCCTTGGGATTCTGGAGAGCATTTATCCCATGTTGTTAAGGAATGAACCCTGTTTTATGGGGTGAGATCAGTAAATCAGAGAAACATGTTTCCTTTGTTTTCAGGTGAGAATTTCTAGGCTTCCCCCCACACAAAGTTCACACCGGAAATAAATGTGCAACAGATCTGAGGCTGCCTGGCTCTTGGATCTTCTCCCAGTCACTGTCAGGAGCCCTCCAAAGCTCAGAGCCCCACACTGCTACTTGCCGTAAGGAGGTGCGTGAGTATATTCCAGCAACCTGGTTAAAATGTCTTTTTCAGGTGAAATATGTTCTGGTGGAAACAACCCAAATGTCCAACATATGAGCCTGGGAAATTGACCCTGGTATGTCCATGTGGGGAATATCACATGATCATCAAAAGTGGTGATGGAAACCTAGGAAGAGATGGAAAGATGATTCTAATCTAGCAACATAAAAGGGCAGCTTACAAAGCTGCTCTATTTTTTTGTTTTGAAAAATATTCAAAAAGTATTTGAAGAGCATGTATTATAACATTTCTAATGATTATTGCTAATGGATTATGAGAGATTTTTATTCCCTGCCCCCTCTGTCTTTTCTAACCTATGCTTTCTAAATTTCCTACCAAGAAACATTTATTACTCTGTAGCAAAGTAACAGGTTTAAGTCCAAATCCTAGTCCTAATGGCCTCAATGATCTTGAGGCCATTGCTTAATTTCTCCACCTGGGGAGAATCATTTTAGGATTTTGTGAGGATTAAACAAGCTAACTGTAAGAGGCACTTAGTACATTTTTAGGCGTTGTCACTAACAAAATCATTTTTGCAAATCTTTCTACTCTGGTAAAACCCATTCCCAAAGCAGACCAACCACATCTGGGAGCCACTGGGGCTTTGTCTCAGAAGGCCTGGACTCCATCCCTCCCCTGCCCTCTCTCTAGGGTGGGCAGCTAGGGCTGAGGGCTGGGATCCCGCTTTCAGTGCCTGCCAAGAGTTGCTCTGGCAGATATCTGGGTTTTGTTATGCACAGAGAAATAATTTGGTGTTGGCATAATGGCATATTACTTAAAAGCATGGATCCTGCAGTCAGTCTGCCTGCCTCTCACATCTATTAATGGGGAGAAAAATGCCCCCATGCTCCCAGGGTTCAGGTGAAGATCAGTGTCACCACAGTGTTGCAGCTTGGGCACGGCATCTTGACCAATGCCGACTCTTGCAGCTGCAATGTCAAGCCTTAGAAATTCACACAACATAAAACCATTTGCAAGTGACCATCAGCCACCACCTCTATGTGTTTCAAAGCATTTTGTCACCTCAAAAAGACTGCTAATCTCCTGTCTTTCTGGGTATTCCATCAAAATAGAATCATAGAATGAGTGGCCTTTTGTTTGTGGCTTCTGATTCTCTAACAGCTTAACCATTTACCATTCACTGGCATTAAGTACGTTGTCTCACACACCGTCACCACCATCTTTTTCCAGAACTTCAGCACCTCACGTAGACCCGGAGGCTGGCCTTTAAATTCTTACACAGCCTCCTCGGCAAGTGTTAGAATCCCCAGAGCGTGTGAAAACACAGATTGCTGCCTCCACCCTGAATATTTGCTGCCTTAGATTTCAGGTCTACGGGACACAGTGGACAGTGGCCTCAGTCAGGGTCAGCCAGGGAAGCCGAGCCATGTGACCTGTGGAATGAGGGATTTGTGGCAGGTGGTGGGAGTGAGGTCTCACACGAACACAGGGGAAACAGAGCAGAGGTGAAAGGATTGTTGTCAGCAGGGCATCTCCAGCTGATCCACTGGAAGTCAGATGTCCACTTGCAGAGTGGGACAGGAGGGAGGCTGGTGCAAATGTCTGTCATCAGCCTTGCATGGCAGGTCCCCAGCCAAGTGTCCCATGGTGGCTTGGGCCACTGTGGTCAGCAGGAAGAGCGATACAGAGTGGAAGGAAGACAGGCTGGAACCTTCTGGAACCCACAGCTTGTCTGCCCCTGCATCTGACCTCAAGAGGGTAATGGCTGCTGTCTCAATTCCACCTTCCAAATCTCCACATCCTCTTTTGGCCAGTTTGCACCCTGAACCTGACAGAGGAAGTTTCTGGGAAAAGTAACTCCAGCTTGACCGAGTGGACATTGCATGAACTTCCCCCACTGTGCCCACAGGCAGTTTGGAAGACCCTGCAATGGGTCCCCAGCTCTCCCAGCCACCCTCTGCCTGGGTCATCAGCTGGACTGACAGACACCCTTTATGAACTTCACAAACAGATTCCCAGGCCCCAGCCTGGCCTGTGGGCCAGGAAAATTCGGCCTCTGAATTTTCAACAAGTTCTCTAGTTGAACCAAGTATCCAGCCAAGCTTGGGACTTCTGATACATGGAAAGAGTGGGCTCTGGGACCAGACGATGTGGTTAGAATGCCAGCCCCACCACCTGCTGGCTTTGTGATCTGGGGCAAACCCACCCTTTCTGTTCTGATGGTATTTACTTATCTGTAAAATGGGGACAGTGCCTGCCTTCCTCATGGAGGGCTGTGGGCACTGAAACATGTGGTGTTCACAAGCCCCTGGTGTATGAAACACTGCTGTGCCCAAGACAGTGAACAGTTGCACCCATACCTGTCCAGGCAGCATGTCAGATGGACCCCACTCTTCTTTCTTCCTAGGAAGCTGGGCCTGAGCTTGACTGTACTCTCACATGGATTGTTTTGCTGATATCACAAAAACCTGACTTGCTTTTCCTGAGCCACATTCATATTCCAGGCATTGTTTCATGTAAATATCACTTGCTTATTTTTTCTGTAAGCAAATTTCACAAACTCCACCTTAAAACAAAAATTCCCTGCCTAGACCATTCCAACCTCCAGCCCTGCTTTATCTGAAAACACCCTTCCTTACACCCTTGGTGCCTTTGAAGATTTTAGTCCCCCCCCAAACATACCCATGACTGTTTTTCTTTTTGCATCTGTCATGTCGATACTTGGCTGCAGTCCCTGTTGATGGAACAAACCACTTTTCCAAGAAAGCAAGCGGGGAGGCATCAGAAGACAGCTACTGAATGATCCAAGCTGTGCTCTGGGCAGGCAAGTGAGTAAAGAAGGCCAGACTCTGAAGTGCCTTCTAAGGAAGCAGTCGCTCCTCCAGCCAGCAAACAGGCTTATAGTTCAGCTGCAAGGAGGCAGGGGAAGAAAAGTAATTTTATGGTCAGAAGGCAGAGAGGGGCCAAGTTCGAGTGTCACCCTGAGGCCCAAGGCTTGGTTCCCCAATCTGTGGCATTATGGGAAGGTGTGGAACCTTCAGGAGATGGAGCCTAGTGGGAGGAAGTGAAATTATTCGGGATGCACCCTTGAGCAGGACATTGGCACCCTGGCACCTCCGCTCCCTCTCTCTCTGCTTCCTGGCCCCCATGAGGTGAACAGGTGCCACACATTCCCACCATGATGAACTTCCTCACCATGAGCACATAGCAACAGGGCCAGGCAACCATGGACTGGCACCTCTGAAACCATAATCCAAAATAAACTGCTCCACCTGAGTAGAAGAGAAACCTCAGGAGAGCGCGCCTCTTTCTCACTCCTGTGTTCAAAGAGCCTGAACCCCGGGGTTGCCCAGGTAATGTTGTGGAAATGAATGAACAAACCCAACAGAGATCTATCAACTTTGCCAAGTATATAGTTCCATACCCAGTGTTAGAAGAGTCCCGGAGAAACAGGAAGATGTCCAGGGGCAGCAATGAGAACACAGGCAACCAGCCCTGTCTGCATAGTTTAAAATTTGGTTAGAGAAACAAGAATGAAAATCACCCCTCAAGACATCTCTAATTGACCACAGCCACCGCCTAATATGCAATATGATCAAAATACATGGGAAGGTTTAAATTTAAAGTGTTTATATAGTAAAAGGCACGTTGCCATTAATCCCCTTCACTCTGAAAATACTTATCCTTGTCAGACATGGTGGCGCATGCCTGTAATCTCAGTATTCAGGAGGCTGAGGCAGGAAAATCCTTGAGGGTTCAAGCCCAGCCTGATCTATATAGTGACACCCAGTCTCAAAAAACAAGAAAAAAAGGAAAGTTGTATCCCATTGTTCCTGCCACTTTCTGAAGCAGTTCTGAAAGTCTTCTTTTGTATCTTTATGAGATATAATCAAAAATGTGGTGAATGTGCCAGCCAGTAGAAAAGCAGGTTCACAAAAACATTATAGGGTGTGCCCATCCACCCTGCTCAGCAGATCTGGCACAGTGTGACTCCTGGCTCCTTCCCAAAGCCAAAATGACCACAAAAGGGAAAGCCTTAGGCTTAGAGGAAGAAGGGTGGGGTCAGGGAGAATCACATCCAAGGAAGGAGCCACAAATCGGGGGCTTCTGATGTGAAGAATGGGGGTGCAAGTGTGGGTGCCCAGGAGGAGCCAGCAAGGCACAGAGGAGAGACCGGCTGGACTTGAGGCAGCAGGGAGTGGTGGGGCCTGTGGGACAGTGCAGGGCTGGTCCCTTCTGCAGGGCAGAGCTGTGGTCACTGGTGCCAACCGGGGCGAGCCGTGAGCAGGCGTCTGCAGCCTTCTCCCTGCCTTTGACCCACACGTGGTTGTTAAAACTTTTGCCACTCTTATGTCGTTCCCTCAGAGGGAACAAACCCAGGTCCTTCCTGGTCCTGTCATCCCCGCCTGGGTGGCAAAGGGTGAATGCCATTGGGGACGTTGGGGTCCCTGCACATGTGACACTAGAGGTGATCTTTCCTCCAGCCTTCATCTATGAAGTCATGCTCAATGCTAATCATGAAATGACTGCTTACTGCATGAGCTACAATTTGCATTTCCCAAATAACGCTTTTAGTCTTCACTCTATGTTGCTTTTCTTGATTTTATTTTAATTTTTCCTATCTGTTTATACATGTACAGTATTATGATACTGGGGATCGAACCCAGGGCCTTCACACTGAGTTATATCCCCAGTCCTTTTTTATTCTTAAAATTTTGAGACAGGGTTTTGCCATGTAGTCCAGGTTGGCCTTGAACTCAATACGTAGCCCAGACTGGCCTCAAACTTTCAGTGATCCTCCTGCCTCAGCCTCCTGGGAGCTAGGATTACAGGGAAGCCCCACTATGCCTGCTTGTTTTCACTTTTAAACAACTCATAAAAATGCCAAAGAGCCACACCAAGTGGAGTGTCCTAGATCTGCTGCTTCTTAGGGACCTGATATTCCTGTGTTTGTTTTGAGGTTTCATGGCAGGAATGAGCAGAGCCACAGGGCCTGAAAAGTCCCA